CAGTGTCCAGCTTCCCAGGACTCCCACAGGAGCATCTCCACCTCCCTCAAGGACAGGGCACACTCCTGCCAGCCTCTAGGTGTTAATAGTCCCACCTCCTTTCTTGGTTCTCCCTCAGCCACTGCTATGCCTGAGTTACCTTCCTGATTCCTTTTCCGGTTCTCCAACAACATCCATCTACCAATTCCTCATCCTATATATGCATGTCTCTGTAGGTGACAGGTGTGGTTTCTGTTTTCCTGAGTGGACTCTGGCTGATGCAATACACCATGCTTTCACAGTGCACTCATTGTTTAAATTGTGTTAAGATATGCATAACATAAAAATGACCATTGTAGCCATTTTTAGTGTGTAATTCAGTGACATTAAGTATATGTGGATAGGGGGGTCTTCAAAAAGCTAATGGAAAGTGTGTTTTATGACAAAATTATGCATGGGTTTCAATTTTATTTGCACCAAATAAACTCATACACTAATTCCACTCTTCCACAAACTTTTCGAAGTACCCTTGAACTCCCACTGTTGTACAACCATCACCTCCATCCATCTTCAGAGTCTTGTCATTGTCCCGAGCTGAAGCTCTACCCCACTTAACATTAACTCCTTACTCACCTTTTCCCCAGCTGCTGGTAACCAGTGTTCTTTCTACTTTCTCTTTCTGTGAACCCACCTACTCTAAGTACTTTAAATAATATTTCTTCTTTTATATCTGGTTTATATCATTTAGCACTACACTTGTAAGATACAACTATGCTGCGGTCTGTTTCCACATTTTGCCTATCCATTCACCTGTTAATGGACATTTGGGTTGTTTTTGCCTTTGGGTTATGGAGAATAATGCTGTTATAATCATGGGTGTACAAATGTCTGAGCCTCTATGTTCAGTTGTTTTGGGTATATACCACCTGGGAGTGAAACTAGTGCAATCACATAGTAATTCTGTTCACTTTCTGAAGAACCAGTATACTATTTTCTACGATTTCATATCCTTTTCCATTTTCTCCACCAAGAATGCACAAACATTCCAATTTTTCCACATCTTTGCCAACACTTGTTATTTTACACTTATTTTTACCATAGCTATCCTAATGGATGTGAAGTAGTGTCTTACTATGGTTTGGATTTTCATTTCTCTAAAGATTAATGCTGACCATCTTTTCATCTGCTCCCTATATTAACTTTTAATAGTGTGTCTCCCAAATTGAAAATCCTTTTGTTCTTTACTGAGAAACATTATCAAAGGAGAAAAAAATTTAATATAATTACTAATGCCTTAAAGAATTGTGACAATAATAAAATTCAAGAGATTTGTGAAATGCATATCCTTTCTTGGTGAATAATTTTCTTTCTGTTTTAAGTGTCATCAGAAAAGATCACTGACTCCGCTCATGGTGGTGCTGAAGGAGCTCCAGAATCACTTCACAGTGAGCAGCTTTATTAGTGGAGACCACCACATAGAGGTTTGTTTTCTATTTTTAAAAGTTGATTTTTGGCTTCATGTTTTTAAACAAAAATATCACACACATTTGATTCCCATAGACTTTGTTAATAGTAATATAGTCCTAAATATGGTGTAGCTTCTGAAATATCATGAATCATGAAATAAATGAATAGTAGGCATTATCTTAAAGAAGTACGGAAAGAAATCTAATCATTCCTCTTGTAATATGTCACTAAAACAAACACTCTGGAGTTAAAACTTATTTGCAAAACATACAACATTTGTGGACTCCATGATAATGCTACTTTTTATCTTTACTTCAATTAATCTTCTAGATAACCAAAGATTAAACAAGAGGACTTCAAAAAGTTCATGGAAAATGTGTATCATAAAAACTATGCAAGGACTTTAAAAATTTTTTACCAAAATAAACTCATACTTTAACTTCATTTTCCTGTGAACTTTTTGAAAGCCAAAATCGTTTTTTTTTTTTTTTTTTTGGAGAGGTTTTCGCTATAGGGCACATGCACTCGCCAGACAGACAGAGAGAGACAGAGAGACAGAAAGAGAGAAATCACCCCCCCCCCAGGGGGAATGGCCACGCCGCAATCCCTTCTCCTCCATTCTCCTCTCGGGATCTTGGGCACGCACGCACATGCACCCGGCGTGAGTTTTAAGCCACCGGGTCCAGGATGCGAACCGCAGTCAACTACGTGGGAGTCCAGCGACATAGCCATTACACTAACTGCTGGTTCCCTGAAAGCCAAAATCTTTACAGGCTAAAAATGCTATAAGTTCAATAGCTGTCACCAACCAGAGGATCAAAAATGGGATCAATGTCTTTGGCAGTGACCAACATAGAACAAAGCTGATATTGCCATAAAACCTCAGGAACTGACAAATTTCTTAAGTTATGTGTACACTTTTATAATACTAAGTTTTATGACTCCTGAAGATATGAAGAACTATCTATAAATTTACTTTAGAAATCTATGCTTTAGATTTTACATTTTTACACGACTGAAATAAGCAGTAGAAAGGCATTGTTTATTCATTGTCATCTTTTATCAGGCTGTGAACCAAAAAGGTGTTGGGAGTTGTTAAAGAAAAAAAAGCATCGGATTATTCACTCAGTGTATGAAGTGTGCTAGCAACTGAGTATGCAAGAATGAATGAGACATCACCCAGTAAATGCTAGCAGGGTTAGAAATGGGAAGAGAAAGACAAAGAAGAAAAGAAAGAAGACAGCAGTAGGCCCCGCCCTTATGGAGTATATAATCTAGCAATCAACTAGTAGCTGGATAATGGCTGACTTGACAGGAAAACACAGAATTGGCAAGATTAGAGTCAAGTTCTAGATCTGAATGTAAGTAACACCTAAGAAACAAGGCAAAGTTGTGTAAGGAAAACGGAATAAATTTACAAGGGAACGATCAACATCAGACAAGATTTAAACAGTATTACTACTGTTTAAATAGTGGGATAACCAGCTCTGGGCTGTCTCCTGATGTGAGGCCATGAGAAGTAGCCAAGATCGCTGGTGATATCTTGCCCAAATATTTAACTGGAATTGATTTCTCTAGAACTGAATTAGTATACAGGAAATAAAGGAGTATGTTAAACAAAACCATGAAGAAACAATCTATCTACTTTATAAGACAACCGGCTTGGTCTATTCAAAATTAAAAAAAAAAATAAATGGAAGAGGGCTGGCCCTGTTGTCTAGTGGTTAGAGGTGCCAGCATCTGTGCATGTGTGTCCAAAATTCCAAAAGGGGAGAGAAATAAAGGGAAAGAGATTGCAGTTTCTTACTCATTGTCCCTTTCTCTTTGGAGAAATAAAATTAAAAATAGAGGCCCATTCAGATTAGAAGAGATTTAAGAAGCATAAAAACCAAGTGCAGGGTCACAGTGGCACAGCGATAACATTATAACACAATGCTAAACCCTCACAGAAGGTCTCAGGTTTGTGTCTCAAGGCCTGCTTGTACACACCAGGCAAGCAAACATGTCTGGGATCCAGGCTGGCCAAAGCTGGGCGTGGATTGGGTGTGAAGACACTGTTGGAAGAGCCCTTTCTCAGGAAATAAATACATAAACATATATTAAGAAAACAAATGCAATGACCAGTCATTATGAATCCTGATTTGAACAAAAAAACTATAAAAGACTCTGGTGGATAAACTGGGGAAGCTATATTGATGACGAAGCATAACATTACTGTTAATTTTACAGTTAATTATTACTTAATTTTGTTAAGGGGCTAATGATGTAGGTATCTATGCAGAGCACCTTTTTTTTCTTTTCTTTCTTTCTTTCTTTTTTTTTTTTTTAGGTTTTTGTCATAGGAGGTTTTTGCCTTTCGGAAAGAGACATAAAACGTATTGCTTATTCAAAGAATTCTAATTATTTGCCACTTTATCTCCAAAATTCCTATTTCAACCCTACCACGCACATTTTAGCTACTGTCTCCTTTAGCTACATAAAATGTGATTTCTAACACAAAAGAAACTGAATGGAAATAAACAGGAATGTCATATGATGGCTTTATTGGAAGTGAAGTCAGAAATTGGGACAATAGTTCCCACCCGTCTCTCTTTTCATCTGTTCCACTCATATTCCTCTCTCTTTCTTTTCCTTTCCCAGTAACATTGCAGCAACCAGGGCCTACACACTTCTCTCTATTCTCCTATGAAGAAACAAAGTAAGAGAATGCAGGTGTGACTGGAGCCAATTATACGTAGCTTTTCCCAACACATGCTGAAGGCTCTGCTCACATAGGCTTTTGGCAAACCCAGCTATGTGAGATCTTGACAGACAGCATCTGGCAGGGATGAAACATGGCCAAGAGATTTAACATGATCCCATTTTGTTTCCTAGTCTTACATAACACTTACATAATAACTCTGCAAAAGATAATAGCAAGACAGTACACTAGCAAGGCAGGAATTGCACAAGTTATGTCGCTCTCCTTCTTCCCAGTGCATCTGCTGGCATCTAGCACAACAGCCTGGTTACTATCCTAAATGGACAAGTATGTTCACACAACCACATGGAAGAATGTTACCCATATGGAAGCAACTTCACTCATTTCCTCAAAGATACTGGGAATAATAAATGTGACAGGAAATGGTGCCCTGGGCTCCTTCTGTATATCACCTGACTTCACCTGGTAGAAAGCAGTGAGGCTAGAATGCAAACACATTAAGAAACAAGCCACAGTTCTGCAGCAGCTCATAGACACTCTTCCACTGTTTTGGCTTTACCTATCTAATAATAATAATAATTATTATTATTATTTAGGTTTTTGCCTTAGGGTGCATGTATTTACCAGGCAGAGACAGTGAGAGAGAAAGGAAAGTGAGAAATCAACCCCTGGCAGGATGGCCATGCCACAATCCCCTCTCTTCCATTCTGCTCCTAGAATCCTGGGCACACACATAGATGAGTCCAGTGTGAGTTTCAAGTCACCGCATCGGGACTTGAACCATGGTTGGCCATGTGGGAGTTCAATGGCACAATCACAATCCCCACAATCCCATCTTCTGAACCCTACCTACCTGTCTTAAGTCCAGGGTGATTGTGACCCAGTGATATTCTCTCCCATTCTGAATACTGGGACTTTGCCACCAGTTATTAGTACCATCTATTGCACTTGATATCGGATGGCGTTCTGTTAAAAGAAAAAAAAAAAAAAACAAACATGCAATCCTTTCAGCTCCAGCTTTAAATATTTTAAGCTCTAAACTGTACACAAGTGGTGAGAAGGTATACAATGTTCATGGCTTCTTAATGAAAGTCTGTAGCTATCCTAAAAGATAGTATAAACTCTCATGGGTATTTTGGGATAGCAGGAGCAATACTTGCCTTTGGGGTTTGCACTATTGCCATCACAAATCCGGCATTGGGCATTTCGTATAGGTCGACCAGGCACATGCTCCACGAGCTTACAGAACATCTCTGGCCCCTTCTCTCCACAGGTAGCATTGGTGCTGATGTGAGCATTGCTGGCAAGATTGAGAATGGCAGGAAATAAACCTGTGGGACAGAATTCATCACATCAAATGAGTCACTTGAAATCAAAAGAATGAGATGACCGCCATCTCTTTTTATAGGTGAATGAAAAATAAATTGCACAACTCCAAATTGAAATCAAAAGAATGAGATGACCCCCATCTCTATAGGTGAATGAAAAATAAATTGCACAACTCTATGCTGCATGAAGGCAGCCTTACATGAAAGCAGGATATATAGCATGGTTTCTTTTACATGAGATTCCAGTAGTAGCAAAACTCATCAATGAGAAAAATGGAGATCATTGGTTACAAGGGGTGGGAACTGACTATGAAGGGACACAGGGAACTTTCTGGGGTAATCACAGGATCATCAAAGAAGTTCATGGAAAACATATATTATTGGAAAATAAAACCTGCGCAGATGTCCAAAGTTTTTGCATCAAAGTAATTTACCATTTTTCCATACACTTTTTGAAGCCTCCTCATATGTTCTGTATTTTGATAAAATTTTGCACTCCACAGGCAAATGCAGTTGAAAAAAAAAAAAAACACAGAATACTAGAGTACACCTAAGATTCGGGTGGATTTATATATTTTAGCATATGTAAACTTTACCTGAAACATATAAAAATTGTAAACATATTTCAATATACAGGCAGAAATGTTTAAGAGTGAAGTGTACTCAGAGCTTCAACTCATTCTGAAATGCATCAAAACATAGGCTGGCGTGATAGATAAATGATAAAGAAAGTAGAGTAAAAGTTACTTGCTGAATCCAGATGCCAATTTCTTGTATAATTCTTCCCACTTTTTTATTGAAATTTTTAAAAATAAAATGTTAGGATGGGCCAGCCAGTGGCATGGTGGTTGACACGACTGGATCCCACATGGGCAACAGCTTGGTTCGAGTTCTGGACCCAAAGGCTTGAAAAACACACCTGGTGTATGTGTGTGCATGCCCAAAATCTTGAAAGAAGAATGGATAAGGGATTGTAGTGTGGCTGACCCTACTGGGGGGTGCTTTCTCACTTACTTGTGCTCTCTCCTCCTCTGTCTCTGTCTCTCTAGTGAGCTGAGCACATGAACTGTTACAGCAAATTTAAAAGTATGTTGGGAAGGCACCAGCAGATGGTGTAACGGTTACATCGCTGGACTCTTACATAGTTGACTGTGGTTTGAGTCCTGGACCCAGTGGCGTAAAATTCACGTTGGGCGCGTGTACGTGTGTGCCCAAGATCCCAAGAGGGGAATGGAGGAGAAGAGATTGGGGCATGGCCATGCCTCTTGGGGGTGGTAGGTGTGACCTCTTGCTTTCTGTCTGTATGTCTCTCTCTATCCGTCTGGTGAGCACAGACACCCTATAGCAAAAATCTCTCTCTAGGAAAATGAAGAAGGGACTGTGGCATGGCCATCCCCCCTGGGGGTGATTTCTCACTTTTTGTCTCTGTCTCTCTCTGGCAAGCACACACACTATAGCAAAAATCTCTCCAAAAATAAAAAAATTCTCTCTAAAAAAAAGAAAAGTTGGGAAAACAAGTGTTGGGAAGAATTTCAAATGGTCTAAAACACATATTTACCAATGAAATGCAAGTATCTGTATCTTAAAAGAAGGGCATTTATTCTGTCCTCACTTTTGTCTATTTGTCTCTGGAAGTACTTGTAGGCTTTTTTCTGTAATTATCTAAGATGTTTTTCCTCCCCCTTCTCTTTCTTTACTGCCATTTTTTTTTGGGGGGGGTGGACAAAACTTAAGGACAAAAAGATCCAGTTTTCAAAATTCTCTTGAATTTGGTATTAATCTTTGTCTTTGTATAGTCCCTTTGTCTCTACTGATTTTTATCTTTAGAAAGCTGGGATCCGTACCAGGTTCCAAGTATTCAGAAACAATTTTTGAATGACTGTGAGAAAAATGCCTCCATTAGATTCTCTAGAAATTTAGCTTTATCTTGGTAAAAAGGATAATAGCTATAAAGATTCTATAAAGATCTAGAAAACATGTTTTATGAGACATTCTACATGAATGGACTTTGAACTGAGAGAGATTCTCAGCGGAGTCTTATCTGAGTGGGATTTCTCCAATTTACTAGAACGCAATCTTCAAAGAGTACAGAATATAAACTTCTCTTTGTAAAGAACATATAGCTATGCTGTGAATGAAATGTTTATTTTCAATTGGAATTTGAAATAGCATAGTGAAAATTATTACTACTAATTTTAGTAATACAGAAGGAATTCACGTCTTTAATTTTTTAGTACTGCCTAATATGTTCAATGATCTTTTCTACTCTAAATAGGTAAATCATTTAAATTAAAATACAAACATGATTATTAGTTGCTGCATTCAAAAAATTACCATGCAACTATTAAAAATGAAACTTACAAGGTAGTCTTTCAAAGACTTTTCACATAAAAGTGTGACTTTTCTGTTAGTTCTACCCTTACAGAAGAATCCTATTCAATGGGCCCTCATCACTAAATAGAAAACAGTAACTTAAAAATTGTATTCTGGGGAACGAGCAGTTAGCGTAATGGCTATGTCGCTGGACTCCCACGTAGTCGACCGCGGTTCATGTCCCAGACCCGGTGGCTTAGAACTCACGCCGGGCGCGTGTGCGTGCGTGCCCAAGATCCCAAGAGGAGAATGGAGGAGAAGGGATTGCGGCGTGACCATCCCCCCGGGGGATGATTTCTCGCTTTCTGTCTCTCTGTCTCTCTCTGTCTGTCTGGTGAGCGCACGCGCCCTATAGTGAAAACCTCTCCAAAAAAAAAGAAAAAAAGAAGTATTTTTTGACAGGCTCTGGCCACTCTGGGAACTTTCTGCCCCAGCCTCCTAGTTAGCCAGCTAGTCCAGAAACGTACCTGGTCCTCCCATGTCCCCAGTTTCACACGGCATTGTGCTATCACTTATGCCACCATGGTTAGGCCTTAATTTTGAAATGTACATGGATTTAGATAATATACTAGGTTTAATATACTTATCGTCAGACTAGCCCTGTAGCATATTGGTAAAGTACTGCGCACCGGGGGCCCATATCATATGGCTGACAAAGGTTTAATTCCTGGCCCCAATAGCTTGAAAAACACACCAGGCATATGTCCAGGCATGCCTCAAATCCCGGTGGGATAGAGAAACGAAGGCAAAACGACAATGATATGGTCGTACCCCAGTGGAGGGTGACGTCTCTCTCCCTCTCTATCTTGTGTGCGCTCTCTCTCTAGTGAGCACACACATCCTCTGGCAAAAAAAAAAAAAAAACCTTTTTTTTATTTTTATTTTTGTTATATTCCTTTAAAAGAACTTTTTTTAAACTAAAAATGAAAAAAATGTTTTATGAGAAAACAGATGAACTGTTATATTTAATTATGTGGTTCCCCTAATTATTATTTATATCAACCAAGAGTTCGACAATTTAATGTAATAATGTAGCTCCTCCAGCGACACATAAATTCCTGGGAGCGGTACCTGCCTGGCAGAAGGTGCTACTACTTACTGTTTGGTACTGAGACAAATAGTAATGTTCTCCATCCTTTATGGCCATAATATTCTAATAATCTGGTAAAAATTTTTCTTAGGAGCTAATAAATTAAAACAAAATCTCAAGAGAAGATTGTTATAACGTGATGTTTTATCCAAACAGCTACAATGCCGTGTTTTGGTTCTGCATCCCACACACGCACTTAGATTTGCAACTCATCCACTCTGGGTTCCTTTCATGGAACTAGTCAAGTGAGAAAAAAAGAAATCAAAGTTACAAGAACTCACTTTACAATACAGTTCTATATCAACAACAGTATTTTACCAGTTAACAAATATTCCTGCTTTTTTTCTTTTATTTATTTCTTTCATGAGAAAGACAGAGCAAACGAGAAAGAGAGATTGCAACCACAAGTATCTCCACAGGGTCTTCTCGTGATCTGCCCCAGCTTCAGTCAGTCTGGATCACTGTGCACACATGCCTGGAGTGAGCCCCAAGGTGCAAAGCAGTGTCCTTCCCACGTAGGTCCAGTCGCATACCACTGCATCACCGACTCTGCCCCTCACTTTCTCTTTACTTGCCCCTCTGGTTGCTGGACATGACAACGCCCCATTTCCGACCCAGAGCTCCCTCCCAGTCTGCAGAGCTGCAAGCCTTGGTTTACTGTGGGTAGGGAAGGGAAGGAGTGCCGCCCTTCCTGTAGCTGCAGTCTTGGCTCCGAGTCCCTGAGAAAGACAGCTCAAACTTCATGAATATACACTTGACATCGTTTTGGCGAATAATATCTCACATGTAGTAGTCAGAATTATACTGGATAGTTCTTTGCACTAGATAAGTTTTCAAGAACTTCCATTCTTCCTTACCTTACTGGTCTTCTAACACAATTTTAATAAAAAGAAAGAAAAATTAGTATGGTTGTGCAGAAACCTCTATAAATGATTAATTTCATTTAAAAAATCCTTGTTGTCTTTCATTAAAACTAAATCTTCCTTCTCAGATAAGTTAGGATTTGAAAAACTCTTTATCATCAATTGTTATGATAAAGTATGCCTTACATATTACATTTATTCTCACTTCATGGTTATAGAGTAATTACTATTCCTTGCTGCATAGTACTAACCCTGTAAGATGATAAAACAAAGTTGGAAATATACTGGAGAAAACATGTTTTAACATTTTTTTTTGAGAATTCCCTCAGGTTGCCAGATCATTTCAAAGAGCACTGAAACAGCTCAACAAAGGGAAATGATATGAGTATCAAGCAGGAGGAGGGACAGGAAATTAAAGAGGAAGGAATGGCATTAAGATCAAGATCTTACCAAGAAGAAAAATTTGATCTGACACATACAAAGTATCAAAGACAGCCTAACCACTGTGGTGCAGTGATAACACAATGCTCTGCAATACTGGAAGCCACACAGAGGACCAGGGTCCAGGTCCCAGGTTGACTTGTGCTTGCTGGGTCACACCCAGAGAGGATTATGTGCCCGTTATCCTGGTTGGCTGAAAGACTGAGAGATGGTTGAGTGTGAGAATCACAGTGTGGGACCCTGTTAAGAGTGCTTGTCTTTTCCCCTCCCTCTCATGAAAAGAATGAAAGAAACTTAGAAAAATTATCACAGGCAAAACAGGGTTGTAGCACATCACATTTGTAACAGTTTTGCCATTACTTAGCCATGCACTTAATAAATCAGACAATACATTTTTGTTGAAAGATGTTGCTCATTTAAGTTACTGCTACTGTAACTTTGATTTGTACCTTCTTATACCACGCAGGACACACAACAGAATGATTCCTCTATCTGTGGATTTAAACAGCAATTAAAGACTTTATAGTGCCAAACTTCATTGAGCATGAAATAAATTCCTTCTCACTCACCAGTAGTTTTTGTTTTTAATCCCCTATCTTCACATCCTGAGAACATATAGTTGGCCCTCTTAAATGCATTTCAGGCCCTTGTTAATCTTCTGGAAAGTTAATAAGTGCATTAACATTAGGTGAAAAATTGCCACTGAGCTGACAGACAATGTTCCCACACATAAATACTACAGTTTTCACCTGAAACACTTTCGGGTAGTTTAATAATTCAGTTTTAGAGGTTTCTGAGTTTTGTTCCAACAGAATGTATCTTTGCTGTGTTAAAAATAAAGTAACTGAAATGTAGGCTAAGCCTGAGGCTTGTTATAGCAACTTATTCATTAGTGTTTTTTAAATGATTCAGAGCCTTATGTGTAAAAAAAGAGGAAACTTTTTCCGTTTTGGAAAAAAGGCTTTTTGAGTTCTACAAACCACTCTACATCCTTAATTCATACTCAAAATTGAGTGACAGTCTGAAGAAAACACAAAAAAGACAGGCAATTCTCTTTATTTTCTTTCTTTTTTTTTTTTTTTTTGAGAGATTTTCACTATAGGGTGTGTGCACTCACCAGACAGACAGAGAGAGACATAGAGACAGAAAGCGAGAAATCACCCCCCCAGGGGGGATGACCATGCCACAATCCCTTCTCCTCCGTTCTCCTCTCGGGATCTTGGGCACACACGCACACGCGCCCAGCATGAGTTCTAAGCCACCGGGTCCAGGACGCAAACCGTGGTCGACTACGTGGGAGTCCAGCGACATAGCCATTATGCTAACTGCTGGTTCCCAAGACGGGCGATTCTTAGCTAAAGGATCTGGGCCAATATTTTTAGATAATTTTTTTCCCATACTAAAATAAAAGACTAATTTTTTTTTTAATTGTATGAAAGAGAGAGAGGAAGAGAGACAGAGACGGGGTCTGAGTTTGTCTCAGTGTATTGTGATTCTCCCACCTAGCCATGAATTAGCTGATTGTACAGACACATGCAACTGTCTGGCATGTTCAGGTTGGCCTGAGAACCAAACCTTCACCTCCCCTGTGGCTTCCCCCCTCCCAGGCAGTGATTCACAGGTAGCAGGTGGGCCAGTATGAAGATGTTACATGATCAAATAATAAAGATAGCATTTGGTATCAGGATTTTTCTTTTGAAAAATAACCAAAGCTACTTAATCCATGGAGAAATTTGGAAAGGCAGGAATTTTAATTTCTAAGTAGAGAAATCTGTGACTTTTTTAAACATTAAAATCCATTTCGTTCTCCAATTATTGAACTCTCATTTCCCTAATGTTACCTATTCATTCCAGGAAACATCTATAAACTAATCAGAGAAGTGTGGAATTAGAATAGATTGCTCTGTTTCTCACCACTCTCAGAAACCCGGTAGTCACCTGACTGAACAATAAAAGCAGCCCTTGTAACTACAAATGACATGATTCAGAGAAAAGTCCTGGAAGCACTTAATATTCCAGGATGATAATATCAAGGTCTACTAGGAACCTAATATTCCAGAGTAATGTTAAAGCATTCTAGTGACATGAATTTCAGGAGGATGCATGAATGTTATGGAGTAACATACCCGTGATGTATACACACAAGTCAAAAAACAGATAAGAACGTATGATTGAGCTCAGCAAACTTTAATGAGAACCCCTTCCCTCTTTGGTGCAAACTCTATACCAGGCACCACCCATGGACACTGAGATGAATGACAAGCTCTTCTTCAGCCCAATGCTCTCACAATACAGAGGGAAAGAAAAAAAATCTACTCAACAGAGTTTAATATGAGTACTATTAAAAATGCAGCAGTATTTAAAACTAGATGAGAGGAGAGATTCTAGAGCAAGAAACTAGTTGGGCACAATCCAGGGAGAACTATTAAAGTATGCATGCAGATGAGGCCAGGTTTAGAACCCTTTCACAGCCTCTCATTGCTCTTCACATATTCCCATTTTCTTACCCTCTGCACCCTTCCTATATCCATCCATGCCTTACTCCCTCTTCAAGCTTAGTCTAGATCTTTCCTTAAGGCAGCACACCCCAACACTGAACTCACATTTATATAGAGGTGATTAGTTTACTGACCAATCCCCAGTTCTTCTACCTCACTATCCTCCAAAAAATATTGGGTTGTCTGGAAAGTCATGATGCATTTTGCATAGAAAAATACAAAAAAATATGTCATGACTTTCCTGACAACCTAGTAAACACAATCCTTGACAAATCTCTGAATTTCTTCAGGGCAGGAACACGGTCTTACTTGCTCTAATCAGCCTCTCGCCCATGTGGGTGCCCAATAACACCTGAATGAAAGAATGGAGGAAGGAAGGATGGGCTCTTCTCTCACTCATGGATCACTAACAGGTACACAGTACTGAGAGTCTAAAAGCTACACCCATCCTGGTTGCACCACTAACCTTCTATATGTCTTTGAGCAAGTCAACATCTCAGAACTTCCAGTTTCTCAACCACTAAGTGAGTACTCGTAATACTCGAACTTACTTTAATAGACTAGCAGGTAAATTTGGCCACCACTCCCTCTCTCACTGTTTGAGAATGA